GGCTCCAACATCATTGGGACATCATCGTCTTGAGTGTTTTCGGCGGAGTCCCAACTTCTGCCTGCCTTGTTACGTAATGCGTCATGCATTGTTCTGCATTTCTAAGAAGAAAGCACACAAACCGATTTTATTTGTAAATGTGTTGCACATTTTTTTAATTGATGACTCAACAGATGGGTCATTGTATTACGCATAACATGGGCTTTCTACTTTATGTAGGAAAAATATAACCATCTTTTACGTTGTTCCTCAGCAAGTCAGGCAGCGACGAATCAGGACTTGATCTGTTACTTATAAACAGGTCTTACACGAGAGGCGACCTCTTTTGTGAAGGTTAGATGAATTATCAGAGATCGCCGCCGTGTTGTGGGGTTTATCTTTCTCTGTGTCTCTGTCCTCTTCTTCCCCCTAAGCTGTACATAGTTTTACTTGAAACCTTTTTTCCTTTGGAAATCTTTCTCCTTAGTTGATGATGGGGGACAGGGGTCTTTTCAAAACCTTTACTTTTGTAAAATTAAACCGTAAGGAATGTTTTCATATGTATTACTATCTTCTGAACCGTTGGAATTGATGAGAGGGAAAGAAAATCTAGTTTTAATTAAAGCGTTTCGTGGTTAAACATAAAAATAAATGCTTCCACAAATAGTTGAGCTCACTGTTTTCCAAGTTGCATTCAGTCATCTGCTTTTGCTTTACTGCAGTGAGCTAAAACTGTCCTGCTGAGGGTCTGACTCAGTTTCCCTCTGATGGGGCAAAGGGGCCAGGTGTTTGGACCAGCTGGTCTGTAAGCCCCACCCAGCACTGTTCTTCTAAATTTTCATTATTTTTAGGTTTGTTTACTTAGTTTATTCATTGAAATTAGGCCATTAAAAAGAAATTCCCAGTCATTCTGACTCCGCGAGGTGGAAGCAATGATCCAGAGTAAAATAGAATCCTTTCCATCACTTTGACTGTAGAAGTCTGGTCGGAGCATTGACTGGTCAGTTCCTTTTATGGCTTTATAATTGCCAGTTTCACGAGGGTGTATCAGTAAGATGACCCATGGACCACTTTTCAAACAGGTAATTAAGTAAGTTTAAATATTAATTTCAGTCTCCTTTTCCATCTGTTTCGCAGCGCCAGCCAGCTTTTGACACCTTTGATGGGTCCCTGTTTGCTGTTTTTCCCTCTCTCAGTGAAGAGCAAACACTTCAAGAAGTGCCAACAGGCTTGGATTCCATTTCTCATGGTAATTTGTTACTCAGACTCGACCAATTGTGCATGATTTCTCGTAGTTCAGTTACTAAAAAGATGATCATTGGTAAGCGACAAAGGTTGGTGTCTTGAATGTTTGGTTTGAAAAGTCAGATGGTGGCTCTGAACCTGGGAGAAGACAGTTTTCCTTCTTTATGAGCATGAGGGTCCTGATGTTGTCCGCTGCCAGACGCGCCCAGACTGCCAGGGAGCTCCTGAGATTTCCAATGCGACGCTCTCATCACTGCAGCAAGCCCGGGCCCCATCTTCCAGGGGCACCTACAAAGCAGACCATGAAAGTGCCCTCCAGCTTCTCGTTCTGGGGTCTCATTATGAGTTAGATCATCCCCTACCCCGGAGTCTTGGGGCAACAAATTATATTGCTGATATTTGCCCGTCTGCATTTACTTCTGTAGTTCTTAATGTCATTGTTTATTATTTTTTAAAGGGATAACAGTCAGATAATGCCTATACAATTACTGTGATAGGGTTATTAGTTGGAAACATTCCAGAGATTACTTCGTCACATGAAGTAGGTGCCTAGAAAACACAGCCCGGAAAATTAACTAAAACACATAGGCTTGCATAAGCATGCCATCCTGAGCCGGTCATTTATCATTCTTGAAATTGCTGAGGGAATCCAGAGATTGCTTTTCATTAAAAATTGCAGATGTGCTGACTTTACAGGTGCTAAGAAGTCCCTTTGCCTGCTGCTTACTGTAATGGCAGTAACGTCAAACTGTGCATTTTGCATCCCTTAAAATTTTGACCAAAACCATGTGCTTTCTTTCATTGTCTAAAAATTTTAAAAGAGACTTAGATAGAAATTTCAACTGAGGATAATTGGGTTTTTTTAATGAAGTTGTGCAAAATAATTTGCAAAATAAAGCTTGAGTTTTATTTTAGATTTTTTTTATAAGTGTAGTTATGAGATGTATAATACTTTCTCAATTTCTGCTGCCCTCCCCCAATTCTTGTTAATAGTTATACTCTTCTAAGGAATACTGTCAAGGTTTGCGATTGAAATTGTTCCTTCCTGAAAACTAAGATGTCTCCCCTAAATTCTCTATCTGGTCTTGCCAGCTTGAAGTCCTAATGTCCCCATGGGGTTTCTTTCTAGACTCTGCCAACTGTGAATTGCCTCTGTTAACTCCGTGCAGCAAGGCTGTCATGAGTCAAGCCTTAAAAGCTACCTTCAGTGGCTTTAAGAAGGAGCAGCGCCGCCTTGGCATCCCAAAGAGTAAGTGCGTTCTAGTCGTTTCTCTGAGTCTGCATTGTACTCAAACAACAAATCTGACCGCGGTCGCTTGAGATGACTTTTTAACCCAGCACTGTTATTGGGGTCTTAGAATTCCCCTGGGTGGCTTGCTCCTTTGGACAGTCTCTGGAACACATCTGGACTTTGTGGGTCGATCAGGAGTGACTCCGGTCTGACCGCCTCCTCCCATTTTCTCCCTGTGTCCGTCTTTGCCTCCCTCCTTGCAGACCCCTGGCTGTGGACCGAGCAGCAAGTGTGCCAGTGGCTTCTCTGGGCCACCAATGAGTTCAGCCTGGTGAACGTCAATTTCCAGAGGTTTGGCATGAATGGCCAGGTGCTGTGCAACCTGGGCAAGGAGCGCTTTCTGGAGCTGGCTCCGGATTTTGTGGGCGACATTCTCTGGGAGCATCTGGAGCAGATGATCAAAGGTACCTGCTGAGGGATTGGGCACCTCCGCGCTGGGGAGAGCCACGGCAGGGAAGGGAGATGGGGGGATCGGGGCTCAGTAATCCTACGGTGGGGGTTTCAAAATTATGTAAAGTAAATTGCCGGAAAATGCCACTGGTGTGAGTCAAATGTGTGGCAGTGATTATAGGTTTTTTAATCCACTAAAGTGTGTGTGTGTGTGTGTGTGTGTGTGTGTGTGTGTGTGTGTGTGTGTAACATCAAGGATAGCCACAAGGCAGTAACCTTAGTCACTACCTTGTTGATGGTGATCTGATGGCATGTGTCAGGCGAGTACGTGTTGCCTCAGATAATGGAGGCCAGCAAGAAGTCCTGTGTTTTGGTGGCTCACCTTATAGAACCCAAAGAAGAAAGTCAGCCTCAATGAAGAGGAGCCTTTATTCAGACAAACCCCGTGAATTTTACAGTGAATTTTCCTAAGACCAAATGGAATCCAACAATAAGAATTTCTTCTGGTTTTATGTATTTAAATGAATGCAGAAGTAATTGATACATATTTATACACTGACACTATACAGAAACTGGCCATTGAACAAAAGAACTCTCATCATATAGAAGGTCTTGGTTCAGACCTTAAAAGAGTGTTGACAGCAGTGCTAAAAAAAAATACATCCAGTTAAAAAGGAAAAAAAAATTATAGTGAGGGGTTAGGTTAAAAACATGAGAAGATTAGTTCTTTGGTCGAGTTCAGAGCAATAGTCCTCGTTCACTTGGTTTTAAACACTGAGTTTCAACACCGTTTACAGACTCAGAATCTTTAAAAGACCTTAGGGTTCAGCCACCCTCTCTTTCAGCTGTGGCTTCTGGGGGCCAAGGAAACTTAAGTTTGGAGACCCCCAAATTCTCCCTGAATTTGGACAAGTCTGATTGGACAAGTTTCTGGTGAATCTGTTCACTGGCAGGTTGGGCCTGTTTTGTGGTCACTCTGAGTGTAAGTCTGAGGGTCTGGATTTGTGGGTGCGTGTGGCTCAGTGTGTTTGTAGGAAGTAAGCACACACAGAGAATGCTAACCTTTTCCTTTTCAAAGTCCCAGGGCACCGAGGCCCCCTTCAGGTTCCCACAGCACTGCTTGCCTCTTTCTGTGCCGTACTCAACCTCACCCTGGAGAAATGAGGGGCTTGAAGCCACAAACCATAACCTCAAGAGGGGAGGAGCTGGGTCTGCTTTACTAACCCACTGTATTCCTAGCCCCTGAGACAAGTGGCACTTCATAAATATTTAAGTGTCTATTGATGGCACAGATGAATTAAATTCACAGTCTAGATACTTAAAATTATGCAGTAGAACATTTCACTTGGCCAGTGACAGCATTCATTTTGGAAAACTTACTCTGGTTATTAGGAAATACGTTGCCAACTCCAGTTTTTGAAAAAGACCAAATGTTGGGGCGCCTGGGTGGCTCAGTTGGTCAAGCGTCTACCTTCAGCTCAGGTCATGATCCCAGGGTCCTGGGATTGAGCCCCGCATTGGGCTCCCTGCTCTGCGGGAAGCCTGCTTCTCCCTCTCCCTCTCTCCCAATGCTTGTGTTCCTTCTCTGGCTCTGTCCCTCTCTGTCAAATAAATAAATAAAATCTTAAAAAAAAAAAAAGAAAAAAAGACCAATGACACCGAATACCGTCAGCTTAAATGTGAAGCGTAAATGCATTTAGTTATCCTAAAATAAACAGATAGCAGTAATTTAGAAATAAACGTTTTATCTTGCATGGTTTTAACCTTGATTTGCAATCCTATGTCTCCGGTGTCTGTTTTCCAGAAAACCAAGAAAAGACGGAAGATCAGTATGAAGAAAATTCACACCTCAACTCAGTCCCTCATTGGATTAATAGCAATTCACTAGGTCAGTCCAGTCACTTCTGCCCTGAAGACCTCGGTGTTAACTTTTTCTATTAAATTGGGACTCCCACCCCCCCCCAAAAATAAATAAAATAAAAATAAATTTGCTGGAGGTCCAAAGGCCAGTCTCAGCCTGCGCTGTCCCATTGGGTGACCACACGTGGCCGCTGAGCTGCTGAGCACTTGAAATGTGGCTGGTCCACACTGAGACGTGTGGTAAGAATATAATGTGCACTGGCTCTGAAAAGCTTAATGGAACAAAGAATATAAAATGCCTCCTTAATAATTTTTAAGAGACTGATTACATGTTAAAATGATAATTGGTAATATTGGGTCAGGTCAACTATTAAAATTCATTTCACCTGGTTCTTTTTAGTTTGCTCCTGGGGCTACTAGAAAATGTAACGTTCCCTACGTGGCTGGTGTTACCTGTGCATTGGCCAGTGCCGCCTAAGGCAGGGAACAGAGCATGGGGTGGAATGAAGCGAGCTGATTAGCTGCTGTCAGAACTAAGCATAATGAATAAGGGGTGCCAGGCACAGGAGGCATGTAAGAAAGCAATTCTAAATTTGCTCTGATCTTTGGGGTCTTTCCTTCTGGTCACTGACACTGATAAGTATAGGTTATGGGGGGTCCCACTAGCCAGCAGAGGGAGGGACTGTTCCCTTACAAGTCATATACTGGGTGGCAAATCACTCCGTCTCTCTGAGGCTTACCGCCCTGGGAAGCTGAATGAGCCAGTGACCTCTGCCATTCCGAGAGTCATGTGAAGGCGTTTGCTAAACTAGAGCCATAGAGATAGATGCTAACATCGAGGTGTCGCATCTTGGCTCCGAGGCAGCAGGCGTTTTGGAAGGGGGCTTATTGGCTGAGATCATGAATGGCTTGTGAAGAGGAGGTAGCAGAAAAGCCGCCTGCAAAGCCCACTTTCCACTGCGGTTTTGGGGAGGGTTAGAGCATATAGAACTGGTTGCATTTGATTCGGGTTGAGGGCGCAGAGGGTCTCTGATGACCCCACCACTCCTGCCTCATAGCTCTTCTGTCCGATTGTTCTGTCCCAGGCTTTGGTGTGGAGCAGGCAGCGTACGGCGTGCAGACCCAGAATTACCCCAAAGGCAGCCTCCTGGACGTGTGTCCATCCTCCTCGGCGCCCAGCATGCTCGGTTCTGAGCAGGAGTTTCAGATGCTGCCCAAGTCTCGACTCAACACCGTCAGCGTCAACTATTGTCCCATCAGTCAGGACTTCCCGAGCAGGAGCTTGAACCTGCTCGCCGGTGGTTCTGGTAAGTCGGAACTCCCGCAGGCTCCGTCTGCAGGGCCGGTGGTTGGATTCCAGGAGCCACAGGCAGACGGAGACGCAGTCTGCATCCTGAGTGGCCGTCCGGCACTGTCGCCGCAGGGGACGGCTTTGCTCAGCACGTGTGGGCTCCCGCTGTGTTTCCGGCTCCCAGCTGGGCACTGCGGGTACCGAGTAAATGAGACAGGGCCCCTGCTCTCACAGCTGGATCCCTCCACCCGGTGGGGTATTTTGGGAGAAGACGCAGGAACATGACATTCCTGCAGTCAGTAGCATCCCCACACCAAGAGGAAACCACTATCTTGACTTTTGTCCTCAGAGATGAGTTTTTCCTGTCCTTGAGCTTCATAGAAACAGAATCCTAGCGTTACATTTTCTTTTGTGTTGGTGTTTTTGCTCCTCCTTATGTCTGAGACCCAGCAACGCTGTTAGATGGGGCAGACCGTTGCTCTTTTCATCGCTGTATAATTCTCCATCCCTCGAAGGTGCACTTGACCCACCCATGCTGCTGCAGATGGAGGATGCGGTTGCATAGGGCATCTGTTGTAAGAAATGAGTGCCTGGCGAGAAGTCTGGGACTCGGCACCAGCAGGCTATAGGTGGAGTTGGGGGGGGTGTTACAGCCCCCAGACCAGCCTGTGGGACCCCCCCCCCCCCCCCCCCACCGCTCGGCAGCACCGGACGGTTCGCTGTCCTGGAGGAGTCAGCGTTTGTGCCCGGCTGTCTTTGCCAGGGAAGCCCGGGGACCGCGACTCCCCCGAGAACGGCACAGACAGCTTCGAGAGCTCAGACTCCCTGCTGCAGTCCTGGAACAGCCAGTCGTCGCTGCTGGATGTGCAGCGGGTGCCGTCCTTCGAGAGCTTCGAGGATGACTGCAGCCAGTCCCTGTGCCTCAATAAGCCGACCATGTCCTTCAAGGACTACATCCAGGAGAGGAGCGACCCAGTGGAGCAGGGCAAACCGGTTATACCCGCGGCAGTGCTGGCCGGCTTCACGGGTGAGTGTGTCACGCCGACCCTCCCCGTCTCCTCCCCGCGGCCCAGCCCCAGCGCCGGGTTCCTCCAGGGTGTTTCTGGTCTGAGCACATTGTAGCTACAGCCCACACTTGGTGCGTGGCTGTCATCCTGAATCAGGCAGGCTGTACCCCTGAGTTCTAAAAAGGCCAAGCTCACATGAACTGTCATGCCCAGTGGTGTGGATGGGAATCCACAGGCCGCCCCCTCACCTGGGATGTGCGCGGCCAGCCTGGAGAGGAGCAGACGCGGAGGCCATGGAACTGTGGAGGCTTCAGCTCTGACTCACCCACTCCAGGAATCCCAAAGAATGTAAACTTGCCCAGGGAGGGACGGCAGAGCCAGCTTCAGACAGCACAGGGACTGTTTACCTTTGCTTGCTTCTAAAAATCCATCTTATTTTTAAAATTTGGGCAAGATCTATTTTAGGCGAGGGACAAATAATAAAGCCGTTTTTAGAACCAAATATTTCCAGTACTTTAGCAAAAACACCAAGATTTTTTTTTTCATTGCTTCATGGGTCCTTAAATGTGTTTTTCATACTTTGACCATATGGAGCCACTGGATTAAAAAAAAAAAATGCCTACTTAAAATATTCAATAGGTTAAAATAAGAATACGGAAGCATCCATTTTTTTCTTTTCTGTCATCCACAGGAATGGTCTTGTCTTTCATTTTTTAAAAATGTTTTAAATTAGTTAATTTAATTACTTTGAGAGAAAGAGAAGCACATGAGTATATGCAAGTGGGAGGCAGGGGTGCAGAGGGACAGGGAGAGAGAACACTAAGTGGACTCCCCGCTGAGCACAGATCCCGGCACGGGGCTCGATCTCACGATCGTGACATCATGAGCTGAGCCAAAATCAGGGCTCAGATGTTCAACCGACTGAGCCACCCGGACGCCCCTTGGTGTTTTCAATTTTAATATTAGTTACCATTTGCTGAGTGTCAGCTCTGTGTGGTTAACTGGGCACATATATAGTTGGTTGTCCTTGAGACCGCCCGGGGGGGGCGGGCGCGTGCACCTGTTTGACAGATGGTACATTTGGCTCAGAGGTAGACAGCTCTCCATGGTCACACAGGTAGCCTGGTTGTGTCTGGTTCCAGAACTCCTATCCTTGGTGCTTTATAGCCTTATTGCTGATGGCCCTTGGGTCTTGAGGAACAACTCTTTGATGGGTGTGTGATCTAGGGCGGGGCACCTTGCCTCTGAGCTGCTCCTCGTCTTTAAAAGAGTTCTTCAGAAGATGGTGGTTCTAAATATTAATTCAGGAACGGTATATGAAAAGCAAAGCGTACCTCACCAGGGGGTGAAGCCATGGAGACAACCCTAAATGCCCAAGTGGCTATTGAGTAAACCAAGTCTGGGATTAAGCAATTTACCCACCGTCATTTGGCAGGAAAGCTGTAGTTTAGGATTCCATGAGACATGCCTCATTCTGTGGTGAAATGCCCCTTCAACCACCCCCACCCCTGTCCTGCTGGGTGCTTCTAGAAATGAACCCTGAAACTTATTACATAAGGAACAGTTAAACAGGATGAGGAATTTTTTTTTTTAAGATTTTATTTTTAAGTAATCTCTAAACCCACCGTGGGGCTCGAACTCACAACCCTGAGATCGAGACTCACCTGCTCCACTGACTGAGCCAGCTGGGCCCCTCCAAGATGAGGAATTTTAATGTCAAGAGTTGGTGGCCCTGAATTTTCTTCCAGAAAGACCCGACTCAGCTACCAAGGGCGTAGTGCCCCCTTTTTCAGGACGGGGAGAGGGGAGACCCCTGATTGGGTGTCTAGCCTCATGCCATTGAAGGGGTCAGTCCTGTCTCCACACTTGGAGTTGGCACCCTGCCCAGAGTCGGGGCTCCCATTCCTCAGTCAGCCTATTTCATTAGAAAGGACTAAAGCCTTGTCGAACTTTAAATCTATAAAAACGTACAACTTGCCCCTTTCCCCCAGGAAGCGGACCTATTCAGCTGTGGCAGTTTCTCCTGGAATTGCTCTCGGACAAATCCTGCCAGCCCTTCATCAGCTGGACTGGAGACGGCTGGGAGTTCAAGCTCGCGGACCCTGACGAGGTACAGCCAGAGCTTGGGAAGTCAGTCTCTGGGCTTTGAACCCTGATTTCATCACTCTGGGCTCATAAACTCGATCCTCTGGGCACAAAGAAGTGTTCACTGCTGCAGTGAGTTCTAGTGTTCTGTGGGTGTGCTCTTGGGCACGGGGCAGGCTTCTGAGAGTTGCTCTCTCATCTGATAAAAAAGGCACAGGTGCTAAGCTGAGAGTCTTTCCTGACCATCTGAAATGCCATAGGAAATGTGCTTTTTTCCACTGGTGGGGACTGAGCCTCCGGCAGCCCGGGCTGGACTTCTGGCCCTTGCAGCTTTGCCACGCTCAGCTCGGGCACTCGGAAACCCTGGAGGGGAAGGCCGAGGGCAGATCCAAGACCCTCCCCTCCAGGAGAGCATTAGAGAACCCTGGGGGTCTCAGGCAGCCTTAGAGTGCAAGCTGGCGCCGCCCCGATTCCCTGAGGAGGCAGAAGTGTTGAGGAATGCAGAATGTCACATGGCTCAGAGTCGCACCAGCAGCTGTTGACTGTGGGGCGTGGAATAAGAAGCCGGGAGGTGGGGGGACACAGCGTTTCCCTTGTGTCAGGCCCGCCCGGTTGGGAACAGTTGGCTCCAACACGAAGCCTTCCTGCATGAGACGGTGTGGTTGCTGCAGGGGGCGGGCTCACTCTCCCACCTGCACCTGCCTCCTTCCTCAGAGACACAGGTGCTGAAGCAGACCCACCGCTGGGGCCCTTCTGTAGTTAGTGGTCAAGTTCTCTGGGGAAGCAGCGTGAGACTCCTCCCCAGGGGCAGTCATTCACTTTTCCTTAATTGTGAGTAAGGAAAATTGCAGATTTGAACTCTTTTCACCCGTGTCTGCTACAGGTGGCCCGCCGGTGGGGAAAGAGGAAAAACAAGCCCAAGATGAACTACGAGAAGCTGAGCAGGGGCTTGCGCTATTACTATGACAAGAACATCATCCACAAGACGTCGGGGAAGCGCTACGTGTACCGCTTTGTGTGCGACCTGCAGAACTTGCTGGGGTTCACCCCCGAGGAACTGCACGCCATCCTGGGCGTCCAGCCGGACACGGAGGACTGAGGTCCGCGGGGCCCCGAGCTGAGCCGGCCCGGCCCATGTGGGGCTGTGAGTGCGGCCATGCGGCCGACTGCTCCAGGGACCCTGAAAGGCGGGATCAAACGCATCCAGGGGACTCCCCAAGAAGCAGTGGCCTTATTTCACCGGAAACCGCGGCTTTTCACCCAAAGCGGCGTGGTTTCTCACTTCTAAAGCCTGCTGATAGGAACACGCTATTTATGATGCTATTACATTAGAATGGCCAAGAAAGAAGCTCTGGGAAGCCGTCCTGGCTCCGAGCAGGCCATGGGACAGGAACGTTCAGGCCGTTGGATATTCTCCAAGGAGCGAGCATGTCTCGGGCACACACTTTTTTTTTTTTTTTCCATTTTCTTTTGCCTTTGGCCGTCAGGAATCACGAGGGCAGAAGCGGTCTCTGGTTCAACGAGGCGGAGGGTGCAGAGATAGTCGTGCCGTTTCAGAAGTTAGTTTGTATATATGACTGTAATCTTAATTGTTGTCAAAATCCTCTCAGAGTCCTATTTAACGAGAACTGTATATTGTAATTTAAAATAATTCTGTAAGTGTATTTGAAATAAGAACGCAGACGTCCGGTGTTCACTGCGGTTTCCAAGAGCACGTGCGGCGTCCCGCGAACACGGGGTCTGCCACGGCGGGCGAAGAAGTTGTAAAGTGTGTATTATTTACATTTAATATGCTTACAGGTAGACGTCGAAGAGGGTCAGTCCCTATTTCTGTTTTGTTTTGCCTGGATGATTATCTGGCAAGGACTTTGTACATTTGGGAATTTTTATGAAACACTTAATGTTATTATCTGGAGGCCCATCTAGCCTCTGCTTTTCTCCTTAACCGTAATGTAAAAGCTATAAAGCAGTATTTTTCTTGACAAATGGCATATGTTTTCCATTTCTGTGCATGCCTTTAAATCCGTTTATACATACAAGACTGATTTTATTTTTTAGTTCGACTGTGTTTCCCCAACAACTAACCTCCCCAACCAGCCATTTCCTTCCCATGCTCCACCTCCGTGCCCCAAATTATTCTGTATGATTAAAATAAGAATGCTATTTTTGGAAATATGTGGCTCCTTTTCAGAGAGCAGGAGGGATTTATGTAGCAGCTACTTTTACTGCAGAAGTAATTCACTGGAAGAAAATGTAATTTGTAAGAAAGCTCTATTTTTATCTGCGCTCCTTGTGAAGTTAAACAGGTCATACTGAGCTGAAGCCCGGGGCAGGTGGGGGACAGGAGGGGGAATCTTCACGAAGCCTCTTGGTCGTGAACGAAACACAACTTTTCCCTCACCTGTGGAGTCGTGGGCTATCTGGACATGATGCTGCTCCTTTCTGCTCAGTGCCCAAGCTCTGTGTTCTTGTTTTCGTGGATGCAGAATGCCCAGAGGCAAAGAGAGGACAAGCAAGATGGGAGAGAGAATCCGCTGGAGGATTTGAGGTGAAAAAAAACGTGTTGCTCACCATGGAGACTTTCATGATTGTTTCCAAGGAGCACCTGGGTGGGCATGTGTTCGGGGCGCTTGGAAGCGATCAAGCCAATGTGGTTTCAGGGCCGCATGGGCCTCCCTTGCAATGCGGGGGACACTCGGAGCCGTGGCTGACGTCCCCATAGAAGAGTCCGTCCGTCTAATGAGGCTGTGGGGACTGGGTGGCAAGGCCAGCTGGGCAGAGCAGCGCCAGAGCTGGGTGACTCAGTCCCAGTACCTACACGAGACCATTTCCAGTGTCTAAGCACAGGATGTTTTTCTCAAGCAGGACATGTTTATCACTCAAACATCTGTTTATAACATCCACAGACATGTGACTGGGAACATCTTGCTGCCAAAGGGAATCTTAGCCATCGGCTGATTTTATATGGGGTTGAACCACATGAAATTGCCAATATTTGACTTTTTTTATCTACAGAGTTGGGCGGTTTCATGTGATTCAACCTAATAGTTACAGAAACTAAAGCCCATGATAAACCTTTGGTGTGGTAATGAACAGACTTAAGGATAAAGATTTTGTAATCTGACCTTTTCTTTCTCAAATAATAAAGTATTTTGTTTATACAAACGCCTCCTTGTAAGGGTCCTCCTTTCGTCCCACCCCCAACAGGGAGGGAGGAGGGGAGGCGGAGTGAGGATAGCAAAGCCCGATCCATTGTCCACGCCTTACCTCCCCCCCCAGCTTTCAGTCTATTGAGAATCACATCTCCATTTAACTGGTTTTACACATGGGGTCACCCAGCAAATCGTGACCAAGCTGCAACCCAGCTGTGAGCTCTTCCTGAAGGAACCCCCAAAAAGTGTTGCCTTCAACCGAAAGATATTTTAGGAAGGGATTAGAATAGAAAGATCCAGGGGTCTTGTCTTTGCCAGGGGATTGGCAGAGCTAACAGAAGAGATTGTAAGGATGCTTCAGTGAGGAACCCCAGTAGGGTTTTTGAGGTTCAGGGACTTTTCTCCAGGATGCCTGACATTGCTGAGCTGACTTTACTAGAGGGGAGGGTGGTGGTCCTGAGATACAGATTCTCAAAGACACTTCAGATTTAGTGAGGATACCAACAAACAGGTGGGTTACGTCACAGGTGTGCTGGAGGCCCCTGCCTACAGGCTGGCGAGAACAGGTCCCTTCCCCACTTTGCATCAGTGATGTGTTGGTATCTTGAATGTGATTGTGGTGAGAGTATGTGCGCCATGAAAATCAGCAGACACTGCAAATCAGGGCTCCCCTCAAGCCCCCTCAGGGAGCTGGTTCTTAAACATTTACCAGAACACCGCTGGTCATCAGTGTTCACCATATTAGAAATTAGAACACATTTTAAAATACAATTCCTTTTAAAAATAACATTAATGCTTTTATAGAAAATAACTTTTCCCAAAAAAGTGAGTGTGGCATTGTTTTACATGTTTTCAAATTCCTTTAATGTCTGATTTAAAAGAAGGGAGCTGGGTTCTTATATTTTCTTCTGCATTTTGTCTTGTGATATATTTTGAAGGAAATCAAGTCTCACACAGATATGTAATTGGAACAGAGGAGTATTTGGGAGATGTCTGGGATAATTGTGGATATTGTTTCATACTATACCAAACCTGGCAAATGGAAGTTTCTTAAAAGTTCATTGCAGTTGGAATATGAAACCATATCAATAAACTTACCTATGATTATAATAAATTCCATTGGTCTGTCTTCCACTGTGAATGGATCTTTTACCCATGTGTGATTTTGTAACATCATGCATTAGTCCTTTGGAAAATATTGCTTCAAAATGTTGACACATTTCAACATCTAATATCGAATGATCACCTTAGTTACAATCATCACCAATTTCACCAGAAAAGTATTAGGAGTCTCTCAAGCTCACAGTGGCAGAAGTAAACTTTCAAAAAATTCAGATTTTCATTTGAAAGCTCAAATGTTATCACTGGCAACAAACACTCTAAGTTGTTTTCTTTGAAGTGACAGACTCATTTAGTTTTGAGGACATACCTGTCAGATACCCAAGTCTGAACAAACATAACTTGTCTGTTGTTCTTGCAGGTAAAAGTGGTGTCCATGGACAAAGTGGTTAGTTTAGCTTGCAACTCACACAAATGCACAACTGCTTTTCCTGGGACAACCAATCTACCTTAATGTGCAGCAATTCTTTAGATGTACTATCGATTACCCAGAGGTTAAAACGATGTGTATTCACTTTAATAAAATTAATTTTTACTGTTTTATCAAGGACATTTTTAAATGGAACTGGTATTTTTTTTTCCTATGAGTACACAATGGTAAAGAAGACAATGATGGCTGGGACAGTTTAGTGCTAAGGTCCCAGCAGTTTTACCGACCTTCGCTTTTGCAAAGGTGACATTGAGGATCCCCTGAAAGGGTGTCAGAGCTCCCCAGTTGTCTATGGACCTCACTTTGAGAACTGTTCTGGAAAGTCAAGCAGCTCACCCAGAACACAGAGTGGAACAGGGGGCAGGAAGGTTGACCAGGAGTTGGGTGAGAATTTTCCTCTCTCCTCTTGGATCAATGTCCATCCTTCCAATTTTACCCTTCCATAGCCAATTAAGATGAGCAGTTTTATTTAAAGCAAAAAGAATTGTCTAATGTTCTACATGATAAGGAAAAATTCACTCGCAGGTGAAATGGATATTCTCAAGGTCCTTCTCCTCCCATCCTTCACTCTGTCTTTTCCATGTGTCACTCCGATTCTAAATCTTTTTGTAATGTAGTATATTTCACCATATTTTAAATTTTCCCTTTTCTTAACATAGTCAAAATGGGTCATGAAGAGATGAGGTTCATGTGGCCTGTCTCCCAGCTTGTCCACATGGTGGTGAAGAAGCAAACTTAAACTGCCTTTAGTCCATACCATGTCCCGGTTCTTCCCCATACAGGGGCCCCCAAGGACCTCAGATCTGCAAATGGTGGAGACTCATGAGTGGTAATGATTTGGAGTCTGAAGGGGCTGCTCCATTGGGTGTGTGAGGTGCAGGATGTGGGGGCCAGAGCAGGTGGACAAGGAACAGGGGAGACACGGAGGGTAGTAAACTGTTTCATCACCTCTTTGGAAAAATCAAGCAAGTTGGCTATAGTGTATTGTGCTTTGGCCTGACCTTGAATTATTCTCACCCAGCTGTCATGCACTGCTGCATGACCTTGGGCATGTGACTTCATCACTCTGTGCCTCAGTTTCCCCACCATAAAGTGGAGTCACTGGGTGGCAGTAGATGGATGAATCTTTCATTTGTTTAAGATGGCAGGAAGTCAGTGACCTGGGGAGCTCCATTTAAGTCATGGGCAAAGCATTCCAGCAGGGGTCTCTGAAGAAAATACGGCTCCTGACAGTCGTGTCTCTGTTTTCATACGAAGAAACCCAGGCACAGAGTTCAACAATAAAGCTGGCCCTTAAATCAATCAGGACTCAGACATAGGTCTTCTGTTTCTCAATGTTGTCCTCTTGCCATGATAACCAGGCTGTGTTTTATTTAAGTCATTATAAATCCTACCCAGGAGTTCCACCAAGCTTCCAGTTCCTCCTTCTGTTCTGTTTTAAACAGAATACACAGCCATTGATTTGAATTTTAAAAGTATCCATGAGCCTCCTACCCAAAGGACACCCAATTCTCATACACACAGCAGCTGGAGGCAGCCAGTTTAGTTGAGCAGATGCGCGAATCCCATAATCTGGGCCAGATGTTAATCTGTCTTTTCTGTAATCGCTGCACAGAAGAGTGAGGCTTGAAGCAGTGAAGGGGAAAATCCCTTATTGTGTAATTCTTTTGAAACTCCTGCGCAGGGTTTGAACATGTGATTCTACTTGAAATCTGACATTAACAGAGATACCATTTTTGGTCATAGCTGGTGATGACACCTTCACAACTGGAATTGACATTGCCCTTGTCCATCTGCTCTGAGTAACTGCCCCCTCTTTGCCTCCCAAAGTCAGGTTCAGAGGGCAAGATAGCCCAGGATTGCCAAATCTGACCCCCACCAGCAGTTTCCATTTCTATGGCCTCACGCTCTGCAAGTAGATAGCCAAGACTCAACATACAAACACACACATGGAAATGCTGATTCATGGGAGCCCATGGCCTGGGTTGGCTGAAGGATGACATGTCCTGGGGATGCTGGGGATGACAAATGGTACAAAGATCATGAGGTCTCAAGCAAGAGTATTGTGCATTGGCTATGGTCCATCTCCATGTCAAGTCCATGAGAAACACGGTCACCATTTGCTGGTAAACTCCACCAAATTGGCTACTGAAGAGGTTATTTTTCATCACAGTGCAAATGTGTAATTAATAATTGTGAAATACAGTAGCACTGGCAAGTCTCGATGTCATCCATTATGCTCATTTTACAGATGTAGGAACTGAGGATTGGGGAGGTTAAAGCCCTATGTTGAAACTAGAGGGACTTCTTCTGGACACAGCAGTGGCCCCTGATCCGTCATGCCTGTGGACTCCGGCTTGGGGGTGATGGAGACCTCCAGGGGCTGGAACCCAGAGTGGCCGCTGCAGCTGAGGGACTGGACAGGCCCCGCCAGCTTGCTCTATCTGTCCCTAGGTCAGTACCAGCAGTGCTGTAGGTGTTCTTCACCTTCCTACCGCAGGGATGAAGCCAGTCCATCATCTCAAGGACACAACACCCTATTTATAGTTCTTAGATCCTGAGCAATCAGACTACTGTTTTCCATCACATTTGCATGAGCCTGGGCTTCTGCTTTCCCAAGCTATGTATGGACCCCATAGCACCCCCCAAGGGAAGCTCCAACAGTTTGGTTAACTTTCACTCATTCATTTTATATTCACCCTCCCCCCAACCATTCATTCACAAGCAGCTCTTAAATGTCAACCACTGGGAATGTACAGATTACTGAAAGCCAGATGCTCTCTGTTTTCTAGGAGCCACTTTAGTAAAGGAGCCCAGAAGTTGGTAAGGGCATGTGAGTTCCATCTAGGGCCAAGGCCAGGTTCCCATTGCTTCACCTGTGCCTGTGGCTAAATTCTATTCAATAACCATGCACAATAGCGGTAACATTACAACAAGAGGTGACAAAGAATCAGCCTTGCTGGGTGCTGGGATAGGCGTTGGAGGTCCACGAGTTCACTGAAATGTCTCTGCAGTCAGCCCCGCAGTTGGGATGATCCTCAGAACATAGATGCTCACACACGCTCATATTTACATGCATCCTTGCACAAACACACATGTCCACCCACACACAGACACTGCACTGTGTCTGGCTGTCTCTGCCCCTCCTTCTGTTGGTCACCACGTCTCTTCTCTTCTGGATCGCTTCCAGGGGAGGCTGTCACACAATACACAGGCTGGGAGCACAAGTGACATCAGTCTGTTGTCTCACTCTTCTGGGGGCCAGAAGTCCCACAGCAAGGCGTTGGCAAGATTGGTCCCTTCTGAGGACTCTGAGAGAGAGTCTGCTCCAGGCCTCTCTCCCTGGCTTGTAGATGACCCTTTTCTGTCTGTGTCTTCACATTGCCTTCCCTCCCCATGCATCCATGTCCACACTGCCCCTTTTATAAGGACAGTCACACAGGATTAGGGCCCGTCCAAATGACCTCCTTTAACTTGATTACCTTTGTAAAGACTCTATTTATAAATAAGGTCACATTCTGAGGCACAGGGGGGTTAATACTTCAATATTTGAGTTCTGGAAGAACAGGGGTCAACCCATAACATCTCCCAACACTAATGAAGTTAAAAGCAGCAGAAGTGGACCCAGGGGACAGCAGTCTCACACATGGACTTGGGTCAGTTGTAAAGATGCGCTCCCAACTCACATGGGCTACTACAGATTTGTAGAAGAGGCACAATTCCAAGAGAGAAGATAAAACAGAAATCTAAGGATGGTTCAACTAAAACCACAGAATGCAGAAAAGGAGTTCAAGACAACAAAAAAAGACAGAACAAGAGCAACAGGGGAAAACAGTCAGAAATGGAATAGGTATTAATCCACATATCTCAATAATCACTTTAAATGGCAATGGTCTAAACATATGATTTAAAAGACAAACTGTCTGAATGGATAAAAAAAATAAGACCCAACTCAACTAGACATTGTCTACAAGAAGCTCACTTTCACTGTAAAGACACAGATTAAGAGTATGGGGATGGAGAAAGACCACACTGACACTAATTTTAAAAAGCTGGGATCACTGTATGACATCACCAACTACAGAGCAAGGAAAATGACCTGGGCTCAGGGGGAGGGAGGGAGGAATGAGTAGCGGTAGCACTGGAGGAGGTTCAGGGCAGTGCAACTATTCTATATGACACTGTGGTGGTACATACACGACAGTGAGCATTTGTCGAGCACCATAGAAAGCGCAATACAAAGAGTGAAGCCTAATGTAAATTATGAACTACATTTGATAATAATATACCAATATTGGTTCAACGCTAGCACTAGATATACCACAGTAACGGCTATTGTCAGTAGTAGGGGGTTCTTCATGGGGGAGGCTGGGGGTACTTGTGAACTCTCCATCTGATCCATTCACATTTTTCTTCAAACTGAAAATTGCTTTAAAAAAATAAAGTCTAGGGGAGGTGGAGCAAGATGGCGGAGGAGGAGGAGACCTGGATTTCGTCTGGTCCCAGGAATTCAGCTGAATAGGGATCAAACCATTCTGACCACCTACGAACTCAACAGGAGATCG